CCACCTCTTAGCAATGAGAGTGTACACTTCGTCAAACGTTAATCCAAGATGCATAAAGAACGCATACAATTCATTTTTGTAGGTACAACTCCCTATTATATCACTTTGTTCATCTTCCATGTATCTAACAATAATTGGATAAAACAAAACAACTTCACATTTTCCAGCACATATGGTACCAAACAATGAGCAACGTGGTACTAGATATACAAACAGAGGTACAAAAATCATGAATAGTGGTACTATGATTATTATCATCTTATTTTTTTTTGTTTTATGATAAATAACACTTAACATAACCTAACAATAACATAAATTTGGTATACATGAACAACAAAAAAGAGATTATGATCACTTTATTTGGTTTATGGTAAATATAAACAAATATTCAAAATTGAATCATGAACAAATTAACCAAAAATATATGAAATAAAGATGAATGTTGGACTCCAAAGTCCTCATATAATACATAGATTACTTACTACTTCAAGTTTTCGCCGAAAACAAGGTTCAATGTTGCCGGAAAAGTATGAATTTTCGGCCAGAGAAATTTGACATCGGGATCACTTAATTCGCCGGATTTGTTGTCACCGGAGTTCTTCTCGCCGGATTTGGTGTCGCCGGCGAGATGAAGCTGCAAAAAATAAATAAAAAAAAAACGTGGCCGGCAGATGAAGCTACATAAAAAAAAAAGAGGGAGATGGTGATTTGTTGGGGAATAAGTCAAAAATAAAATATTATTATTTATGTAAGGTTAGGTAAAAGAAAAATAAATAAATAATATGTAAATGGGTATGTTAGTGGGATGATGTCACACTAGAATTTCTTTTTGAGTTATTTTAATAAGAGGGATTTAAATGGAAGTTGAATAGAGGGGTAGGGAGTGTAGTTGAAAGAAATAATGTCTAGGGACTGACATGGAAGTTTGAAAAAGGATTAAGGATTTTTAAAGAAGTGTCCCAAAATAAAAAGCACGTATTCGGAATACGTTTTAGCGTCAATTAAATTAAATTAATAATAAAAGCTAATATATTTTTTATCAGCCATTTTTCAATCCACCGCCACCTACGCCATATATCAGCTGTGAGAGCCACTGATTCCACATCTTCAGCATAAGGATATCAATTACCTCTCACACGTTTCCTTTCTATCTGTTGGTTGTTGTATCATGTATGTATGTTAC